CGTTCCCTACAACTTCTTGGAATGGTCAACGGTATTTTATCACATTCATAGATGATTACTCTAGATATGGATACCTATATTTGATACATGAGAAGTCTCAATCATTGGACGTATTTAAGGATTTCAAAGCCGAAGTTGAGTTACAATTAGGCAAGAAAATTAAGGCTGTCAAATCTGATCGCDGTGGTGAATAYTACGGCAGATATGACGGATCAGGAGAACAACGTCCATGACCATTTGCCATCTTCCTAAAGGAGTGTGGAATTGTCCCACAGTACACTATGTCATGTAAACCTAGCATGAATGGTGTAGCAGAAAGACGAAACTGAACTCTTAAAGACATGGTCAGAAGTATGATTAGTCATACTTCTTTACCTGAATCACTTTGGGGAGAGGCACTAAAGACTTCAGTTTACATCCTTAATCGGGTTCCATCAAAAGCAGTGACTAAAACCCCGTATGAGCTTTGGACTGGCAAGAAACCTAGTTTAAAGCACTTGCATGTTTGGGGATGTCCAGCTGAGGCAAGGGCTTTCAAGCCACTTGAAAAGAAATTGGACTCAAGAACAATTAGTTACTATTTTGTTGGATATGCATAACGTTCTCAGGGCTTTAAGTTTTACAATCCCACTACCAAATCCTTCTTTGAGACGGGAAACGCAAGGTTTCTTGAGGATGTTGAGTTTAGGGGGGAAGATAAAATAAGGAATGTTGTCTTTGAGGATGATGAAGCTCCAATTCAAGATGCTTTTATTCCCAACACTGTTGTTAGTTATGATAATGTTATTATACCTATCATTTCTCAAGATACAACTCCAGTTTAGGACACCAGTGTAGGTGTACCTCTAGTACAAGACAACACTGAAGTTCCTCCACCTGTTGAACAAACTCAACAAGCTCAAGAAGTGACGTTAAGGAGATCCACTAGAGAAAGAAGAAGTGCGATTCTGGATGATTATATCTTTTTTCTTCAAGAACATGAAGAAATAGGCATAAGGGAAGATGACCCAATCAACTTGGCAAAAGCCTTGTCTAGTTCGAATTCTCAAAAGTGGATTAATGCCATGGAAGATGAGCTGAAATACATGAAAGACAATGATGTTTGGGATCTTGTCGAGTTACCAAAAGGTGTGAAACCCATTGGTTGTAAATGGATATTTAAAACCAAGAAGGATTCAAAAGGTAACATCGAAAGATATAAAGCTCGTCTTGTCGCAAAAAGGATTCACTCAAAAGGAAGACATTGACTATAAAGAGATTTTCTCTCCGGTTTCAACGAAAGACTCTTTTAGGACAATTATGGCACTTGTAGCTCATTTGGATTTAGAGTTACACCAGATGGATGTAAAGATAGCGTTTCTCAATGGAAACATTGATGAGAYARTTTATATGGTGCAACCTGAAAACTTTGTGTCAGGAGATCCGAAGTCTATGGTGTGCAAATTAAAGAAATCCATCTATGGTCTCAAACAAGCATCCCGTCAATGGTATCTCAAATTTCATCAAGTGATCACCTCCTATGGTTATGAGGTGAATTTGGTGGAAKATTGTGTATATCATAAATTCAGTGGGAGTAAATTTATTTTTCTGATATTGTATGTTGATGACATACTAATTGCCACTAACGATTTGGCTTTATTGCATGACACCAAGAAATTTCTCACTAAAAWTTTCGAGATGAAGGATCTTGGTGATGCCTCTTTTGTATTAGGAATTCGAATTCTATGAGATCGTTCTCGTGGCATTCTAAGGTTATCACAAAAGAGTTATATTGATAAAGTCCTTGATAGATTTGGCATGCTAGATAGCAAATCAGGAGATACGCCCATAGCAAAAGGAGACAAGTTTAGTCTCAAACAATGCCCCAATAATGAACTTGATATAAAGGAAATGCAGAAGATTCCTTATGCCTCGGCTGTAGGAAGCCTTATGTATGCTCAAGTTTGTACTCGTCCTGACATAGATTTTATAGTGGGAGTTTTGGGCAGATACCTAAGTAACCCGGGAATGGATCATTGGAGAGCAGCCAAACGGGTCATGCGGTACTTAAAGAAAACAAGAGATTACATGCTCACATAAAGGAAATCGGACAAACTAGAGATCATTGGGTTTTCTGACTCCGATTTTGGTGGATGCCATGACACTGGACGATCTATATCGGGGTATGTTTTTATGCTGGCTGGAGGAGCCATTTCTTAGAAAAGTGTCAAACAAACACTTGTAGCTTCTTCAACCATGGCAGCAGAATTCATAGCTTGTTACGAGGCATCCAATCATGGAATATGGTTGCGAAATTTTGTCAYGGGGCWGYRTATAGTTGAGGGCATTGAAAGACCTCTAAAGTTATTCTGTGACAATAATTCAGCTGTGCTATATTCAAATAACAACAGGAGCTCTATAAAGTCGAAACATATAGATATAAAGTTTCTGGTTGTTAAAGAAAGAATCCAGAATGGTCAAATTATGATAGAACACATCGGGACAAACTCAATGCTTGCGGATCCACTAACCAAAGCCTTGGTGCCCAAGGTTTTTTCATGAGCATACTGCTAGCATGGGTGTTGTTTTGGATGACACTAAGGTTTAGTGGGAGTTTGTATTGGTGTTTTAAGTTATTAACAATAATTTGTTTATTTTATGCAGACTTCAGTTTATGGAATTTTTTTTATCATTCCTGAATATATGTAATTTTCTAATTTTTGTCTTATGTTTGGAATATTATATATATTGATCTCATAAGGACTAAAGTTGAACCAGTGATCTATGTCATTAGATATGTTGGTATGGTGACCATGGAAGGTTAATTTACATTATTGAAGTGACAAAAACCGCCATGATCTCATACGAACATAGAAGATGGACAAGATTGTACCTTAAAAGGTGTTCTAATTAAATAAATAGCATAAAGTCGCGCAATAAGGAAATTTAAATATAATTGATCAAGAATAACATATAGCCCAAGTGAGAGATTGTTGGGATTTATTTATAAATCCAATAATAATTGTGGGCTTACATGTTATTATATAATTATATTACGTTATTTAAGTAATGAACTAATTATGTGATTAATTAAAGAGAGCCCATTAGAACCCAATTTGGTATGGACTTAATGAGAGGAAGCCCATTAGGTTATAATTAGGGTTTAATGGGAACCCTAATTACAACTCTATATAAAGACGACAAGGGTTATGGTTCCCACACACCAAAATCAATACGTTCATTCTCTCCCCATTTGAAGAACATCAAGGATTTTGCGTTGAGGAAAGCTGTAATTTCGGATCTACGTTTCATACTCAAGCCTAACTAATGGAAACGGGTACGCGTATTCTTATTCGTATGTTCTTAATAATTCATTGTGATAATCTTTGATTCAACACTTAATACCATGTTACTTAAATTTCAAGTTTACAACTTATAATAACGTTGGTACAATTTAGTAAAACACCCTGTCATTTCATTCGTTCAAATCAAACTCATAACTAAAACCGTTCAAACCAAACTCATCCTCATCCGGTAACCTTATTGTTCGTTCATCCTCGATCATCCCTAAACAAGAAATTGAAATGGGCAAATAAAACTCATCGTTGAACAAGAAAGTGAACCATGGTACATAAATGTTATTGCTATACAATTTGTTGTTTTTCAAGTGATAACAAGAATTGATGTGTTTATACATCTTTTTTTGCTATTTTTTCGTATGTATTTTGCAAAGCTAAAGACAATGTCAAAAACAAATACATTAGCAGGAAACAAGGTTCAGATGTATCTCATGGGTACACAACTAGTAGTTATTTATTTAATTTGTTTTATATCTTTACTTTTTTATTTACACTCTATATAATCGCATATTAACTAAAATACATTAAAAAATCGTTCATTTTTTTACAAATTATATCATTATAATCGTCTTGTTAAAATATTCAAAATGAGTTCAACATCTAATATTTTTGGATTTAATCATATTATCAAATATAAAAATACGTGTGAATTATTTTTTAGAACTAAATTTTATATTCATTACATTTTTTTTGAAAGACAACCATATATTAAAATCAAATAAAAAAGAACAACCGAAAAAATAACCTTTTACAAGGCATAAAAAGTAGGGAAGCAACGAAACCCAAACAAAGCAACCCGCATACGATATTTATCTAATTTGTTTTATTATCCCTGCTTTTGATTTTTCATTTTGTAATTTTATCTTATTAATGTACACTAGAAAGGTACTCGTGTAATGCAACAAGATATCTTGATCTCAATTTTAATGTTCAGTTTTTATTCTTTGTCTCTATCGATATTATACCATTTTATGTGGTTTTGAGAAAGCGGTAATCTGAAATGGATGTTTATTTTGTATTTGATTATGTTTATCAGCAGTTAGTTACACAAATTTAAAAATGGATATTTGATTATGCATAATTGACCGAGTAAGTTGTATTAACATTCATGTCCTAATACATATATATTAAAAAGGGAAATTGACTCAAATAATCATTCTATCCATTCAAATTAGTTTCCTAGTTATTCATCTTCTGAGTTTACCCAAATGTTATTAAGTCCACAATATCCACATCCGCAATATTGCGGACCTGGCTACAAACAGAAAAAAAATTACCAGATTCAACTCAGATACACAATTGCGACGACCATGTGCACAATTACGACGACCAGGTCCGTAATTGCAATGGTACGGTACCACTTGTCAACCTGGTGAAATTTGATTTTGGGTCGTTTAATAATATACAAATGTGAATATTACAGAAGTAGTGATATTTGGGTAACCCCGAGAGAAGAATGGCCAGAGGACCAATTTAAATAGGTTGAATGGTTATTTGAGTCAATCTTTTTTGTTGAAAAGGTTAATAATAATAAATAAAAAAGTATAAGGTTAAAATAGAAAATCATGAAAGGGTTAAAAATGAAAATAAGATTAGATTGTTTTCTAATACAAAGGGGTATTAGAAAATTGAGCGGTTTTCTTAGGAGGGGTATCGTCAGGTATCGATAGAATTTACATTCAACATGGATTCCCTTTTCTCCTGACCCAAATCAAATTACAGAGCTTAAAGAGATCACGTCTCTCAGATCTGGATTCTTTGTTGTCTGGAAATTCCCCATGAAATCTCCTATTTCATCTCAATTTTCAATAAAATTCTTCATTCATTTGATCTGAATTACGCTTTTCGATCGGCAACCAGACAATCTCGGTTTGCATTTTGTTTTTCACGAATTTTTCAACGGCAATGTTGAGGTGTTCTTGCTATATTTTAAATTTACTACCATAATATAGGTTAATTCTTGATCATTTTTTTGATTTAGCTAATGATTTTTTGTGAATGAAATTGCTGCTTGCAGGATACATTATTTGATGGATGTGTTGGGATAAACCAGGTGCAACAAGCAATGTCAGGGGAAGCATCATCAAGCCAGATTGGTGAAAGGGAGGAGCGAAAAATTTGCGCAAACGGGGGTTGCGTACAAACAGAAACTATTGAAGCAAAGCTCGATGCGGGTAATTTCGACCAAGCGGAATCTGCTTTGCGTGAAGGTTTATCACTTAATTCTGAGGTTGGTATTTCACTGATATACCTGAAAAGTTGAACGTTTTGCTTTTTTGAATCTGTTGAATCATTAATTGATGTGGGGTTTAACTTGTACGGGAAAATATTCATATAAAAACCGTAACAATTTTGTATTCGTAAAGCACTTCGATTTTACATAGAACTTTGCAACAAAAGTTGAAACTTTTGTGAATCGTTGGTGGTGGGTCCTTTTTAAGTCTTAGAGGCTATGTTTGTCGACCTAGTCGATGGGGTATTTGTTAGCTAATAAGATAGCTGGTTGTCGATTAATTAATTACCTTATGATCAAAACCAACTACTAAATTAGTTAAAAATTGTAAATAACGAAAAATGATATCTTAAAAAGTTAGTCCATCACAACATTTTATAATACAAGTATAACAAACCAGTAATAATATAATATGTTAATTAATCCCAACTATAATACAAGTACAACAAATTTGTAATAATATAATAATATAATATGTCAATTAATAAACATGATAGTGAAAAAGATTAAATAATATAACAAGTTAACTGATTATTATTATTATATACTATATAAATTTTGGATATGTATAATCAAAACAAATTAAGAAAACATCTACGGTTAATTTATGATTTTAAATAATAATTACATATGATATGAATAAAAATAAACTTGATCAACCTCACATATCCTAATTAGTTAAGAACTTTTCACAAAATATAATTAATAATTAAATTAAATATTTTATTGAAATCATTTACACAATTTTATTATTTATGAAACAAAATAAATATAACTTTAACTTTTATGTAACTTACATAAACATTTATAAAATTGTTGTATTTATTTTTTGATGACTAAATATATTGAATAATAATTAAAAACAACAATAATATAAAAATAATTGATATGATTAATAATAATTTTAAATAATTAGTATTAATGTATAATGTATAATTAAAATTAGTTAATAATTTTCAATTAATATTAATTACTTTTAATCAGGGTTATAATTGGAAAAAGTGTAAAAACTATCCTTAACAGCTACTCCAAATAATGTTTCCATAAGCTAGCTTATAAGCTACTTTTTGCACATTCAAACAGAGCTTTTGAAATAAGCTCAAAAAATAGCTATCTTATGTCGGCCAAACATGGCTTTAATGAAGAATGATCCCTTGCAAAGGTGCGAATATTTTCTAAATGGACTTTGACCTTTTCACAACCTCTCATTGTGAAAGTGATTATGTTAATCATGTTAGATCACTAATATTATATATATGGGGAAATGATTGAGTACTGTAGATGTATAAAGGATTATCTTATTCATGTTAGATCACTAATATTATATTATGTTAATGATGTGCTAAGATCATCAAGTTGTTAGTTTGAGAATCAATCTGAATTTATTACTTCTTTTGTCCCTACACAAGTTACTTTTGAAGTCAAACTTGTTCCTTCTAAATGCTTAATGATTTCTTGCAAATCAACACTCCTGTTGTCCTACTACTAATACTTGGTATAAGGTATATATGTACTTATTATGGTTTATGAAAAGTTAAGATTCATATCAATGCTGAAGATACATATTAGCCATTTGACTTAAAATCACTAGTCAAAGTGTCTCTCTTATATTATGGAATTGGGCTATACGCATGTCGATAATTTGTTGTATTTCAATACTAAAGCTTTTGTGTGGATGCTTGGATTGGAACCACAAGAGGTTGTGGAAAGGGCTTCTTTGAGTAGTCATCCTGAAACAAAATAACCGAAGACTAAGATAAAAAACCATGAATCAGTATATGAGAACAGTTTTGCATTTCAATTGGAAATTTGCTAGCACTTCAAAGAAACATAAAAATAAGTGTTAGTAAAGGGTGCATTTCCCGATTAACCCCCTTAAAAGAGAGAGAAAACGAAAGAATATGTTATGGCGGGTTGGTTTGATCTAATTCAGTAATTGTTTAAAAGTATAAAAAAATAGTGTCATTATATGAGTTAAGATGGAGACACATGCCATTAGACAATGAATTTCTTCGACAGCAATTGTAGCTCTATTTAGGCTTTTGATACTTTGTTATGTAGAGGCAGGTTCAAACGAGAAGCTAAACATTTTGCAAGAAGGCGAGAAGTTTCAATATCATATATGATTACACGCACGATACACGAGCTTAATCATATATGATTAAACACATGTTGCCTTTTTTTTTTGAAAGGAATTACTCCTGGCAATATTATAAAAGACGGAAAAAAGAAGTTTACAAGCGTTCCAAAACAGATCCCAAGAAAACAACCTCAAAACAGTAAAACTTGGTAACAGCATACCAAGCAACAGTCAGCCAAAAAAAGGCATAATGAGATGACACCTAAAAGTTAAAACACATGTTGCATTGACAACACATAGACGTTTAATCATATATGATTAAATACACCAAAAGTAGTGTAATCATATATGGTATTGAAACTTCTTGTCTTCTCGCAAAATGTTTAACTTATCGCATGATCCTTACTCTTATTATGTAATCATCAGTTTTCCTCGGAAATTAGATATATTCTTCTCACTTCTGAGACTAAAAGTAATATGTTTGACATTCAAAGTCAAAGTAAAACGATGGATGAATTGAGGATCTAGATCACTATTTTATGATCTTTTCTGTAACAAAAGTATACACATTTCACTTCTTGTTGATCAATTGAGGATCTTTAGAAAGGTGTATTATCAATCAAATTTCATGTCAGCTATGTCACTATTCTCTGTAAACAGTATTTTTATGCTTAATTCTTTTGAATTCAGGGGAAGAAACAAAAGCTTATGTTGAATATTGTATAATAATTTGCCACCATCTCAGAAAGATAAAAGGCAATTTTTCATTGTCACACTTCAAAGCAGAATGCTTATTTACTTCGAGACCTAACGAGGATAGTGAAGAATATGTGAGCAAAAAGTGCATTGTGTCATCTGTTTTCACAATACCTGCCTTTTGGGTGCTAATAATTTCTTAATTCAATACTCTTTTTTGGGTTGCTTCTCCAACGTAAAACAGCATTAAATATAAATTTTTTGAGCTCATGATTCAGTACATTGGGCACTTATAGCTTATTATTATATCTTCTGCGACTACCCCAAAGGTGTGTATGTATATGTGTGTGTAATACTAACTAAATTCTGTTATAATGTCTTGGTGTTAAACTACTAATGAATTTCTAACATCTGATGTGTGTAATTATTTTATGTTGAATAAACTGTAGGAAGCAAGAGCTCTTCTTGGAAGATTGGAATATCAAAGAGGAAATGTGGAAGCTGCCCTTCGAGTATTTGAAGGTATTGATCTTCAAGCTGCTATACAGCGGCTGCAATCGTGTTCGACAGAAAAAATATCTAAAAAAGGACGTGCTGGCCCACAACAGGGTGCCAATCTGGTGCTTGAAGCCATATATTTGAAGACCAAGTCACTTCAAAAACTTAACAAGATAACCGGTATGAGCTCTCAAACAGTACATTTCTACATTGAATGAAGATTTAGTATTCTCCACTATTTCATGTTTTAGTTAGGGAAGATTTCTCTCTAAAATGGGTTCTCCCTCCATCCCATGAAAATTTGTAGTTAAGTGTTTGGAATACCCTCCAACAATGGTAAAATAAGGGGAAATCTCATGGAGCAAAATGAAAATTTTAAATTACCTAATAATGATGAAGATGGGCAAATAGGTACTTTTAACTTGTAGATTTGCCCAAAAAATAAACGTTGCAATCAATACGATTCATCCCAAATGCAATTGTCACAATTTTGGATTAGATGGAGGGAGCAAATCGACTTCTTCTTTTTCCAACAATACTTTTTCTATGGAAATAACGGAATGGTATTGACTTTTTGAAATTACTCGTCAATGTATGATACCTGTATATAATGCAAAAGTAAATTGTTGCAATTATCTGAATTCTGTACTAAAGGAATATGTCTAATTTAATTAAGTAAAAAGATGTTTTAAAATCAAACAGTATTAGAAATATTATCAAGGAACGTTTCTTATCTTACAACCACCAATAATTCACTTCTGGTCTTGATTTGACAAATGGTCAGCTGATCAACCAGGTGTGCTTTTTTATAACAAAATGAGCTTCTACCAGTGAAAGTAACGTGGATTTCTTTTATCATTATTTGTAGATGCTGCTGAAGAGTGTAAGAAAGTGCTTGATGGAGTAGAGAAGATATTCCCACAAGGGATTCCAGATGTTTTTGTAGAAACTAAATTACAAGAGACAATTAGCCGAGCTGTTGAGCTCCTTCCAGAATTATGGAAACAAGCAGGTTGCTACCCTGAAGCAATTTCTTCTTATCGACGTACCCTCCTCAGTCAATGGAATCTTGACAATGAATGTTGTGCTCGAATTCAGAATAAGTTTGCAGTATTTTTGCTGTATAGTGGTGTTGAGGCAGGAACTCCCAGTACAGCTACACATGTTGATGGTACTTATGTGCCAAAAAACAATTTGGAAGAAGCAATTCTACTTCTAATGATTTGCATGCGAAAATTCTCGCTTGGGAAGGCTAAGTGGGACCCGACAGTTATAGAGCACCTCACATTTGCTCTATCTCTTTGCAGCCAAACTCCAGTTTTAGCAAAGCAATTTGAAGAGGTCACACCTGGAGTAATCCATCGTGTGGACCTTTGGAAAACATTGGCTCTTTGCTTTAGTGGGGCAGGAGAGAGAAAACTCGCTTTCGATTTGTTGAAAAAAGCGCTTCACCCACATGAAAGGCCAGATGATATAACGTCGTTGCTATTGGTTTCTAAAATATGCAGCGAAGAAGGCCTTCTTGCTGCGCAGGGAATTGAGTACGCGCAAAGGGCGGTAAATAATTGTAAAAAAAGAAACAAACATTTAGAAGGTGTATGCCTTCGAGTATTAGGCCTCTGTTTGGGTAAACAGGCGAGTGTTTCTGCCTCAGACCACGAAAGATCACGACTTCAATCAGAAGCATTGAAATCGTTAGATGAAGCGGTTGGATTGGAGCCTGAAAACTTGGATCTAATTTTTGAGCTTGCAATACAGTATGCAATGCAGAGGAACTTGAATAACGCTTTACGATTAGCAAAGAAGTATATTGATGCAACTGGTGGGTCCATGTTACGTGGTTGGAGACTGCTCGCTTTGATTTTATCTGCGCAACAACGGTTTCAAGAAGCTGAGGTGGTCACTGATGCTGCTTTAGATGAAACAGCAAAGTGGGATCAAGGACCTCTTTTGAGGATGAAAGCAAAACTGAGAATCTCGCAGTCACGACATTTGGATGCAATTGAAACTTATCGCCACCTACTTGCATTGATTCAAGCCCAAAAGAAATCTCATGGGCCACTTCAAAGTACACACCAGGTTAGCTTTCGTTATCATTTTTATTTATTTATTTCTTGTTTCTTATCAAAGAATTTATGTATTCATTTACTATCGTAGATTGAAGATGACAGAGTAAACGAGTATGAAGTTTGGCAGGGTCTGGCGAATCTATATTCTAGCCTTTCACGTTGGAAAGATGCAGAGATATGCTTGGGGAAAGCTAGAGCCATCATAGAATGCTCATCGGAGACACTACATACTGAGGGTAAGATCCAATGCTGTACTGCACTTAGATTTATATATGAAAATTAAGTTGATGTTTTAGTAAGCCAAGGTTCTCTTGGAAAATCGATGCTAAATTAACCAATAAAATATGTCCCCCCTCCTTTATGGGGGTGAGAAAATCTCCAATGGGTGAAAAACACAAGTCTTTGGAGCTTGGACTTTATATGCATCAAGTATTAGGGTCAGAAAGAAGAGTATCAATATATTGAAGACACACACATACATATACATAGACACAATTACATATATGTGTATTAATTGCGTAGGTATACATATATTTATATACATTGGATGAGAGAATCAAGTCTCTTTAGTTTCCATAACATTCCCATCAAGCTAGAGCATAGATAGATATTAATCATGTCCAACTTGTTACAAATGTAATTAATATGTCTCATTTACTGCTTTCGTAAACATGTCTTCTAACTTATCTTTTTTTCAAGCATATCATATTGTAATGAATCCTTCTTCAATTTTGTCATGGACGAAGTGATAATCAATTTCAGTATGTTTAGTTTATTCATGAAAGAGATGATTTGAAGCGATATGAAGAGCTGCCTCATTATTACAACAAAGTTTTGTCAGAAGTGTAAGTGCATGGCCAATCTCTTTTGTTGATGTATCTATACTATGTCACATTACCAAATCAGCCATTGCTCTGTACTCAGATCTAGCTGATTTATTTCTTACTTTTACCCCCAACAAAACTCAATATCCTTAGGTAGATCTTCTATCATCCTTTCATCCATCCTAAATTGCATCCAAAAAACTTCAATTAGAGTAGTGAAACGTTCTACTTTAGCATGCATGGCGCCCATAGAGCAATCTTCGTCTTGGTATGCCTTTAACATAGCAGAGAATTTGTTCTAAAAGGGCTCAATGGTTAATTGGAGTAGAAATAAATCAATTGACAACACTAAGTGCAAATGCAATGTCAAGTCGGGTTACTGTATGGTAATTCAACTTTCCGATAAGTCGCCTATACATCTCAGGATCATGAAATGGTTCTCCATCATCCTTTCTCGTGTATACATTGGGATTTTTCTGAGTGCAACATGGTTCAGCCCCCAATATTCCCGGTTTGTTTTGAAGATCAAGAACGTGATTCCTTCGAATTAAGATCTCCTTTAGGTTCCTCATGATCTCTACTCTTAGTAAATATTTAAGTGCTCCGAACTCCCAAATTCTTTGTTTGAAAGTGAGACTGAAAAAATGTGCTTAAGTTTTTATGAGCCTTGTCCATCGCTTTTGGTAACTACATCATCAACATATACCACAAGTAGGATCACACCATATTTAGATTGTCATCTAGAATATTGTATGATTGAACTTGCACTTCTCCATTCCATATTTCAAAATAACTTGCCAAACCATGCTTGAGGACTCTGTTTAAGCCATACAAGGATTTCTGAATGTGACATACTTTCTCATACTCCCCCTGAGCAACGAATCAAGTAGCTTGCTTCATATATACCTACTCTTGAAGAGAACCATGTAGAAAAGCATTTTTGATATCGAGTTGATGTAAGGGCAATGTAGTGGCCGATCAAGGTTCCCTGCCAATGGAACACCTAATCAAAGAGATGTGAGTTTAGCAAGCGGACAGAAAGTGTTGAAGTAGTCAACCATATTGTTGAGTATATCCCTCTTAGCAACAAGACCAGCTTTAAGTCGAGCCACAAAGATCTGGGTGAAACTCAACTGTAAACTCCCATTTACACTTGATTGCCTTTTTGTCAATAGGAAAAAACACCAATGCCTAAGTATCAATATGATCAAAAGCATCATCTCCTCAATCATAGCAGCACACCATCCTGAATGAGCCAATGGTTCACTGGTAGTTGTAGGAATGAGTAGAGAATCCATTTTGGTAACAAAAGAACAAGAAGAGGTACACAGTTGAGCATATGGAAAAAAAGAAGCAACAGGTTACGTAAAAGTAGATGGACCTTTTTGAAGGGCAGTAGGTATATAAGACGTTGTATAGGAGTATGAGAACTAGGTGGATTTGCCGACGAATGAGGTAAAAGATTGAAAGATTGGGGTATGTTGTAGAATGATGCCGCCTGTGATATACTTAAACAATAGATGGCCCCGTTAGGCTCCGAAGAATGCTTAGGAAAAGTTGCATGGGGAAGATTCGTAGAATGCTTGGCAGTAGGTGCAAGGTCGGGTATCATATAAATTATCAAATCATCATCTTCCCCCTCTTACTAGTGATCAACATATGAAACAAAGATATATTTCATGGAAGATGAGATCTCAGGAGACAACATAACAGCTAAGTTTAGGAGAGAAGCATTGGTGTCCTTTTATATCCTAGGATGACGCACTTGTGAGATTTTGGATCTTGCTTGGTTATATAAAATCTAGTATCTCGAGTGCAGGTACTACCAAAGATCATAAGTTCAACAGGAAATAAAGGTTTTGTGGGGAAGTACTGAAAAACGGGCATCATCACCAATAACTACCAAGGGCATCTGATTTATAAGCAAGCAAGGTTTTGGGACAACCATTTAAAATAGAAGTGCTCAAGCAAGCTCAAGAAGGCGACAATTTTGCATTCGACAATCCTGAATTGACCTAGGGTGTCAACACAAGATGACCCATGAAGAATGTCATTTTGAAGCATATAAGATTGAAAAGACTTTTAGAGATGTTTGTTTGGCATCATCACTACATAAGGGAAATACCGTGGCATATATGTTTGAAATAGATACCATTTTGAGAGAGTTAAATAAGCACTATCTCGTTGAAAAGTTCTATCCAAATTGTATTTTTATTTCAGAATAAAAATATGTGATACTGCAGAATGGTGTTTCATTAAATATAACCAAGCAACACAAGAATAGTCATCAACAAAGATAATAAAATACTTTAAAATTGTTTTAGATGTAGCAGGACTCAGATCCCAAACATCATAATGGACCAACTCAAAAGAGGATGCATCACATGTATCGACTCTTAGACCTAAATGAAAATGATGGTGTTCGGCAAATTGACAAGTCACATTGTAAAGATGACAAATGAAAAAATTGGGGACAGAGTTTTTCAAATTCTGGAGAGATCGATGACCTAGCCAACGATGCACCTCAAATAGAGATATAGCTGACTTGGAGCATACCATGGACCTTGGTGCCCGAGGCTCAAATATGTAGAGGCCATTAGAATTCCGTCCATTCTCATGTAAATCCAATATCTTACATTAACCCCACACTCTCCTATCAACTTCTGGTCCATATTTTGAACCTCAAGAACTCTTTCGTTTTCTTATGAAGCTCCATAGTCAACATCCATATACCTTAGAATTCTCATATACCGTGTAAACCAAATTCCTAAGGGTTGATATATGCATATATATGAAGAACATTATGACCATCAAAAGTGAACTCTTCCATTTCAAGAGGAAAACAATCATTTGAATGTGAAGGGCAACAGGATTTTGATCCCACAAGTCTAAAGGACTTCATGGTTGACTCATGGTAAAAAGGTCAGGGCTCAATTATGTTTAAGATTGTCTCAAACCATAGAAAGCGAAACTTAAGCATCCAATAGAACACGAGCATTTTAGGGCTGTTTGGCTGGTTTTCCATTAACTCCTGGATGGATAAACTTGTCTGTATAGATTGGGAATTTTTTGTATGGGAGGGTTTTTTCGTAGGTGGAAGGAGTGTGTTTTTTTAACTAAGATGGGGTAGGTTCCGAAAAAACTTGGCTTTCTGCATAAAGCTCCTCCCTAGAAGCTTACTGAATAAGCCACTTGACCGAATAAGCTGTGAGTCCCATTAAGCTCATTAAGCCGCTAACAGAAAGGCCCTTGGTCAATCTCAATGCCAAGATCGCCTATTCATTTTTTGTTGAACTTGTACTATCTGTGTAAGATTCCTCATGAAGAACTCATGTTCATATTATAAGCATCATTCTTATTTGGGGAAAGTCAAACTAATGGATTTAGTTGACATTTATTAGCCCAACAGTGAAAGTTTGTCTTTTAACTTGTTAAGGAACCTTACGAGTTACTGGGTTTCTACTATATGAGATCATGTTCAAGTTTGCCTGTAATCAAGTTTACTGGATCAAAAGAGCAAATTGATCCATTTTCTCTTATCTAATTTTACTCGTACAAATTGAGGTTGACTGGAGAGATCAGTAAGATGTTCGGGAACACTGCTGTGTTTCTGGAGGCATTGCTCTAGGAGAGAGAATACACACCAAACATACAAAATCGAGTTTATAAGATGCCTAAATTGTTTAATTATTTTAATAGAGTGCCTTATTGTACTTAAGTTAATAGGACCAAAAAATAAAGTGTTCTATCTAAAAAATATTGCAATAAGTTTATAGGACGCTTTTGGATGTCATAACAAGTTTTTTAGGAGTACTTTAAAATTAAGTGTCGTATTAACTATTTTATAGGAGACTATTTGAAAAAGTATCCTATAAACACAATGGTGCAATAAAAAGAAGGGTTTATATAGCACTTATCAAAAGTGTCTTATAAAATAGGTAATACGATACTTTATTTTAAAAAGGTCCTAAAAACTTGTGAAGACCTTTGAAAGCATCATATAAACTTATTGTAGAACTTTTAGATAGAACGCTTTATCTTTTAGTCCTACAAGACACTCTATTAGGACACTTAAAACACTTTAGGGTTGTAGCGACTCCATTTTTAAGTAGCAATGAAGAAGAATGAAACAATACATAATTAAGTGCTTGGATAATACTTCTGTTTCCTAGATAACAGATTTGTAAACAAACAGGACACCCTTGAGATTTAAAATCGAGCTTATTAAAAGTTGATGTAAAATTCATCAACTGGCTCATCCTTGCTGTTGCTGTAACCACAAAGTTGGTCTTAGTGGCTTTTTTAGCCTTTTTATTTGAACCTCCTTTATATATAGATAGATAGAGAGAGAGGGGTGAAATCAAGTAAAATGATGCAAATGTTATAAACCCGTGAAAACTAATCCCAACCTTTCAATTTGTTTCATTTTAAGCTAGGATTCATGGTGTTTCACATGCTTTGTTCTTGTGTGTGTTTTACATATGAAACATATTTACATTTTTAGTTTCATATGTGAAACAATACTCTATTGTAACATCTTTATGGTTTTCATTTGATTTTTTTCCATATATATCATAGAATACTTCCCATGCCACAATCTGCAAGTATCTGGAATTAAAATAAAGATGACATCATTATAGAGAAATAGTTATCTCACCATGTGTTGTGCACTTTCTTTGAAGCTTACTCATTGACTTTTTGAATGCAGAAGTGGACCTTAAGGTCAAATAAATAACTTTGAACTTCAAAGTATATGAATTATGTAAAACAACGAGAAACTCCATACTATAATCTAAATACTATATTCAAGCATTGATTGATGTTACAAGTAGGAATTACTGATTACTTTTATCAAAATCCATACCCGTTTCTAAATGACATTCAGTATGATAAAGCTGATTGTGTGAATTAATCTGTCTCTATGGATTGGGGTGGGGTTTTTTTGGAGGGTCTTCTTATAAATAAATGAGCGTGTTTTTTAATTGAAAGGGAAGGGGCAAGTTTGGAAAACTTGGCTTTCTGCATAAAGCTTCCCCCCTCGGGAAGCTTACTAAATGAGCCACTTTCTATATTATTAAGCTACTACCAAATAGTCATGTATCATTGACCAAATAAGTTGCGAGTCTCATTAAGCTCCTTAAGCTGTTAACAAACAAGCCATTTTAAGAGATCAATTGTCTTCTTGTTTTAGTTGTATATCTCTTGGACTGCTAGGCAACATATAATCTTCAGCATTCAATCATGAACGTACGCTTTTCATATGTTCTGTATTCAGTAATTAATTTTTAGAATCTTTAAAATCATTTCATATTAGTGCTTACCTAAGCTTTCTAGTAAAAATGTATCTGAGCCGGCTCTAGTTCAAGTTAAAATTTGACAAGCTTCAAGCCGAGCTAAAGTAAGATGGATCGGCTTGAAGCAGAATTTTACGTAGAGTTTGGTCACATAGCTGGCTAGCTCGTGTCGAGATCCTAGCTAGTTGGCTTAAAAAGTCTTTTAGGCTCTACAAATTTCTTTCTTTTGAAGTAGAAATAGGTAGGAAGCAATCACTTTGACTTGAAGGGGAACTTTGATTATTAGAAGGAGGACATCCAGGAATTGAAGTCTTATTTGATGTACTAGGTTTCAACATCTACATTCAAACCGGTTTTTCCCTTTGTCGTCCAACGTAACATATATTCCAAGTTTTTGTATCGTGTATACTTAAAATATATGTTTTTTCAAGTATATATAATATTATATGCATCAAATATTCACACACTCATTATCTTTACTGAGATTTGAATCCTTGACCTTTTGGGACGCCGTCAGGTACCACTGGACCAAATGATCCATTGGGATCACAATTCAAATACTTGTGTAATAATAATTGAATTTCAACTTGTTTTTTTGATGTGGAAATTATTTTGTGCCAACCATCGAAAAAAATTTATAGATTCGTCTCTTAACAGATATTCGTCTGTGTGGGATTTATATGGATCTTGTTTGTGTTGTTAAATCTTTTATTTGCTTTCATATCGACAAACCTAATCATATATCCTTGATCTTCTTTTTACTATGTTAGGCACGATTTACCAAAGACGTGGTGAAATTGACGACGCTTTGGCTGCCTACGTTAATGCTCTACTAGTCGAGCCAAATTACGTACCTTCAAAGATCAGTATCGGGTCTATTATGTCATCACGAGGCTTACCCATGTTGCCGGTCGCTAGAACCTTGCTCTCAGACGCACTACGGCTAGAACCCACCAACCGTATGGCATGGCTTCACTTGGGATTTGTTCATAAACTCGATGGCCGTTTGTCTGATGCCATAGACAGTTTTCAGGCAGCCTCAATGCTCGAAGAATCAGATCCTATCGAGAGCTTCAGCTCGATTCTTTGAATACCATATTTCCGTTCTAATTAAAAGGTTTAATCGTTCATTCTTTTATTCTTTTCGATTTTGCAGCGTTGGTGACGTTTATTTATTGATTGTATTATGCTGTGTGGGACGTAGATTATGTGTTGTGTGGTCATGAGAGAACTCGAACTTAAGTTTCGAAGATAGAAAGAAGACCTCAAGGAGATATGTATATGAACTTGTGTTATCAACGGTGTCAAACTTCTCGTTAACATTTTGATTTCTTTTAAATAATTATTGGGGTTTATGAAGATAATAGTCAGACAAATCTTTCAGCAATGACTTGAACTTGTGAACATTTGGGAAAATGAATTTACCAGTTGAGCTACCCGTAACGAACATTTGAATATTGGTTTGGCTGGTTTAGTTAGGGCGTGTTTATTAACAGTTTAATGAGCTTAATAAGACTTACAACTTTTTCAATCAGCTACACTGTTTGTTGGTGACTTAATAATATAATAAGTGGCTCATATAACAAAGTTTCCAAGAGTAAGCTTTATATAGAAAGTCAAGTTTTTTTAATCAAATTTGCCCCTTCCAATCACTACAACAAAATTGGATTTATAGGACGGCTAAAATGTTTAAACGTCTTAATATGATACTTTATAGGACTAAACTATAAAAGTCATATATAAAAGTGTTAGAACAGATTTATACGACGTTTTTATAATAAAGTATCGCATTAGCTATTTTATAGGACATTTTTAAGAAGCATCTCATAAAATCTTTTTATAGGACAGTTTGTTTATATGACACTTTTTTCAAATATTGTCGTATAAAATAACTAATACTATCCTTTTATTTCAAAAGCGTCAAGGCCAAAAACATCATAAACATATTATAACACTTTAGATATAATGTTTTTTTTGTTTGTTCCTATAAAACTAAGTTCTATAAAGCATCATATTATGATCTTCAGAAATTCTAGGTGTCTTATAAGCCTAATGTTGTAGTGAAATAAAAAAACCAGATTCCTTCCATTTATGAAATAACCCTGTCAAACAAAACTTTTCAAATCTGTATAAACAGATCAATTCACATTCTCAACTTTATACATACATGACTTAATGAAAAATCAACCAACCAGCACTTAGTATCATAATTAAATAAGATTGGTTAATAATAAAGTATGAGTCATAACCCATATGATTTAAAATAATTTGATCCGAGTCATAATCCAACTCACTTTCTTGCCTTTTTCTTTCACCTTTTTAAAACGTAAATTACACGTTTTGGTCTATATGATTTGCACGGTTAAATATTGTACGTCATTTCTGTAACATTTTAATAGTATATCTCCCAACTCTCAAATTAACATTCTAAACCAAATGAAACAAAACCCTAAATCTTTAATCTTCAACCAAGAACGAAACATAAAAAACCCATATATTCTTCTTGGAATTGAAATTAGGAACGAGAACCAGAACCCAGGGAATTGAAACCGAAAGTTTTTACGACTAGATGTTGGAGAGAACGAAAACGAAAATCCACTGTCATTGTCAACATAACAATAAACTTACTTGAATACAATTATACACAAATGAATATTAAACTAATTAAAAAATATCAATTATAAATTATGAAGTGATTCACATACAACTTATAATTAAGAATCACATGTGAATCTATGTTATGATTCATGTGTTCACATATGAATTTTGAACTGATTCAAAATCTCAGTTATAAGTTTTAAATTGAATCACGTACAAGTTATGACTATGATTCACATATTAACCTATGTTAGGATTCACATGTTTCCATATGAACCAATGAAAAACAGTGATGTTCGTATTCACATATAAGATTTAGACAAATAAGATTTAATTCAATTTGTAGATTGTAAATTAGCCAATGTAAAAAAATTGAATGAAAATCAATGATTATTTTAAAATAAAGACTTGATGATAACCACAAAGACCAAAAATGTAATTTATTCTGGACTAGAAGACAAACGTGAGAAAAAGCATAGAACACGTTAGTCAACCAACCAAAGTCAAGTTCATAATATAATATTGAGTGAGTCAAAAATTTAATAACTGCAATATATCTTGGAATTTGGGTTTCTAATTTTACATTTTATGGACATTATCAACTGTTTAAGATGTTATGTTTAGGTTAGATCAGATTAAATCAACAAAGTATAGTATGTTTTATTTAAAGACGGGTCTGAAAAACTATTATTATTGTTTTAAATAATAAAAATCAAATCAAACTCAACTGAGTCCGAAAGAGAGGTTAATTGTGCCAAATGGTTTGATCATTTTAGATTCAACAAAATTGACAATCACCGGTTATGTTAGTAGTTTGTAAAAATATGAACGCTAAAACTAAAAGTATAAAAATACAAAAATGAAAAAAATCACACGCTGTAAAAAACACGTGCATCAGTATGACATGGGTCACGCCTTACACAAACACTACAAGTTTTATTGCAATGGTCGAGAACTCGAGATGCGTTTTACGTCATGGCACGTCATCGTGCGCCTTTTAAACACCGAGTATTATACGTCTTAGATGTAAAAAATATATATATATTTAATAAAATAAAGATTTTCAAAATTCTTTTATATTAAATGGAAATTTCCAACCACTTTGAATTCAAGCGTTTTCTTACGCTGAAATCCAAAATTCCCATTAATTTTCTCTCTGCTTTTTCTAAATTGGATTTTTATTAGATACTAAAATTCATATAAATATATATATTTGTTTTTATCAAGAAAATAATATTATTTTAATTATGTGTTATTGTATATAAATTTTTATTAAATAGATTAATACAATATATATTTGTTTTCATCAACAAAATTTTATTGATTAAACGGGCGGACCAAATTTTAAAATGAAAGTTGGAAGGACAAAATCTATTATAAAAATAAAAATAATTCGAGTAATCAATCTATTATATTAATGAAAAATAGTTTGAAGGGCCACAATTGTTATAAAATGAAAAATAGTTTGAGAGACTAAATTTGTTTTTGAAAATGAAAGTTGAGGGAGAGGAAGGTGTGAATAGACAAAATTGCCTCTCACTAACAAAAGTGTTTGGCGTTTGGTTCGCAGATTCTGGAAGAATCCGATGGAATTGGAATGATGAATTTCATTGACCAAATTTTATTCCCCCGTTTGGTTCATTCTTTTTCAAGAAAGAAATCTTCAAAATCCTACAAATTCCACAAATAAATGAATTTAACATTACTTAGCAACTACATGGTATTTTGATGGAATGAAATCTCTATCTTTATTATATCAAATATGCCCTTAACCTAATATACTTTAATCTCATAAAACTCAATATGACATCATCGACCACCTCTCAACCACTATTCATCTGAATCACCACCGACCACCACCATCGATCTGAACCACCGCCAACCACCACCGATCTGAACCACCGCCGACCACCACCGATCTGAACCACCATCGACCACCACTGATCTGAACCACCGCCGACCACCACCACCACCGACTACCACCGCCGTCCACCATAGATCTGAACCACCGCCGACCACCACCACCACCGCCGACCACCATCGATCTGAACCACCGCCGACCACCACCGATCTGAACCACCACCGTTCTGAACCACCGCCGACCACCACCACCGACTACCACCGATCTGAACCACCGTCGACCACCACCACCGACTACCGCCGATCTGAGCCACCACTGATCTGATTCACCGTCAATCTAAACCACCGCCGATAACTGCCACATGAACCCCCATGGACCACCACCGATCTGAACCACCACTGACCACCACCGATCTGAACCACTGTCGACCACCACCACCGACTACCACCGTCGACCAACACCGCCGCCACCGCCTATCTGAACTACCGCTGACCACCTTAATTTGAACCATTGCGGACCACCATCGATCTGAATCACTACGGACCACCACCATCTGAAACACTGTGGACCACCACCGATCTGAACCACCGCCGACCACTGTCGATTTAGTAACATCATTTGGCTTATGATTATATTTGGGTTGTGTATTTTATATTGTTTTACATATTAACTAATTATTTTATTAAAGTATTTTTAGTTTAAAAAAAACTCAAAAAAGGGCATTTTGGTCATTTTTCAATATTTTATTCAAATTCTAAAACTACATTATGTGAACCAAACAGACAGATTCCAATTCCTTGACAGATTCCATTCCAATGTCTGCCAACCAAACAAGTGGTCAAACCTGACAACATTCCATTTCATTTCCTTCAAAGTCAAATTCCTTTAACAGATTTCATTCCATCCAAAAACATTCTGCGAACCAAACGTCACCTAATGATATAGTGCAAAATGAAATATAGTTTTTTGGTAATTGTTTACAATAAAATTAGGGTGTTTAATGGTTAAGGAAGGCCTATGATGCAAAATCATACAGAGGGCTTTAGAGCTATTAAGAGACAAACTTTTTTTTGTCAAACAATATTTACTTCTTAACGATTCAGATGTTGTCTTTTAATGAAACTATTAAAAGGCAAACAAACAGTCCCTTTATAAAAGGGATCATATCCCTTGTAAAAATGAAACTGTAAGAACACCCTCTGTTAGTAATAATTTTTCAGAAAGCTTACTCGTTAATTTATGTAAATGAGAGGGACCAAATTTATATTTAAAAAACATAAAAATAACGTTTTTCACTTTTTGAAAAACCTCTCAGAAACCACATATAATAAAATGCTTTTTGGGTGGATATGAAGTTGACGTAGTCATATGTCCATATTTTCCATTTCAGCAAGATTCCTTTCCCTCTCACTCCCAATTTCCTGTAAACTATCAATTAAAATCTTTTAAATAATATATTATTTTTTAATTTAAATAAAATAAAATAAAAGTTTAAAATCATTTGCTAAAACCACTTCATCTTTTATGAGGAAACTAGAACGATACTCGTACAATATAGCAAAAGACATTTTGATTTTAATATTTGGTTTTATTATCTGTCTCTGTCGATATAACACGGTTTTACATGGTTTTGACAAAAACAATGATGTTTTATTTTTGAATAAAATATAAATTTGAAGATATTTTAAAACTTTGAAAAAAAAAATATATCGATAGTAGTATCAAATTAACTATTTAAAAATTCTCATTTTTGTATAATTTTTTAATTCAATTTTGTATTATAATTTAATTTATGTTTGATAATAA